AGGAGCCCCTAGTAGCTTCTTGTTCCTAGTAGTAAGGCCAGGAGCCCCTAGGAGCTTCTTGTTCCTAGTAGTAAGGCCAGGAGCCCCTAGTAGCTTCTTGTTCCTAGTAGTAAGGCCAGGAGCCTCTAGTAGCTTCTTGTTCCTAGTAGTAAGGCCAGGAGTTCGTAGTAGATTCTTGTTCCTAGTAGCAAGGCAAGGAGCCCCTAGTAGCTTCTTGTTCCTAGTAGTAAGGCCAGGAGCCCCTAGGAGCTTCTTGTTCCTAGTAGTAAGGCCAGGATCCACTAGTAGCTTCTTGTTCCTAGTAGTAAGGCCAGGGGCCCCTAATAGCGTCCTGCTCCCAGTAGTAAGGCCAGGAGCCCCTAGTAGCGTCCTGCTCCCAGTAGTAAGGCCAGGAGCCCCTAGTAATGTCCTGCTCCTAGTAGTAAGGCCAGGAGCTCCTAGTAGCGTCCTGCTCCTAGTAGTAAGGCCAGGAGCCCCCAATGTTGACACAGGCTTAAGTAACCACCCCGTATTAATCAATCCCAGCTCGATCCCCCCAATACTAAACCACCTTCGTATCACCCTAATATTTTTTTAATCTACCAGAAACCTCCCCCTAGCAAAAAATGTTTTATATTTATTGATTATTTATTTTCTTTTTGGCTAGTATCCGATATCCTTTGGTCCTCAAAACCTCTCTAGCAAAACTCTTTCATTTTCCCTTATTAAAACTCTATCAAAATCTTAACGTTTTCTAGCTCACAAAGGGTACCTACCTCTCTCACAGGCCTCAGTGTTCACACAGAATCATATCAACCATCATCCATCATCAGGTCATCACCTTTATCAGGGGGATGTGGTCCTCAGATACCTCCACTCTCAGACCTTGTTGACCTTGAAGGGGGGGGGGTCCCCGTTTATTAATCCGGTGTCGAGATTAGTAGTTTCTTGTTCCTAGTAGCATCCAAGGTCCATTGCTGCGATGTATATCATGGCTGCGAGGAGATCCAGGCAGAGGTGGCTTATGTTCTATCAGATGTTCTGCGCTGGCTGCAGCTGGTGGACGAGCACCGCGCCACGCGGACCTGGGCACCTAACTTCGCGCTCCACGGCGCAAAAAGATTCCAAAGAGATTCCATGAGAGGTAGAAGATGTGCTGATTTATCAGTGTTCAGGCTGATTTATCAGTGACCATGGGGATTCTTACATGTCGTGTTTGTTTGCTTTCGGCGTTGAGTAGCGTAATTGTTCATTTCCCACCGTCCCTCCTTTCTCACAGCCTACCCGGCTCCATGAAAAGATGGAACCACTAAGCTAAGGTTCAAACTGGTGGCGGAAGCCTTGAGGCAAGAAAAGGAGAAACCAAAGTTCGACTTGTCTTGCTGCAAGTTCTGGATGAATGCAGGAGAGTCAGGACCTCAGAAAAACGAGTTCAATCAAATATGGTGAAAGTTAACAGCAGAAGGAACCTGCTAGCAATGGCCTCCAACCTAAGAGTGATGGCCTCCAACCTACTAGCGATGGCCTCCAACCTAGAAGACGCTGAGCTGAGAGATGCGCCAAGGCAAGTGACCGTCCCTGTGTGTGAAGCATTTCTGGAAGAGACTGAAATGTATGGAGTTTCAAGAAGTTCCTTACAGCCCTCTTTCGGCATGGCAGAGGCTGGAGTCTCTGGCAGAGCGTGGCTGAAGCCTGTTCTTGACAGTTTAGACTGGTGTTTGCTTTCGAGATGCTGTGCAAGGCGTGTACATGCATGACCTACAACAATCAATTCGAGGCCTGGCTGGAAGAATGCAAAACATGCAGCACCTCCATTTCGGAGTGACATCGCTACTAGGGTGGAGGCCATCGCTACTAGGTTGGAGGCCATTGCTACTATTTGTTTGTGATTTGAGCAGGTTGCTGCTGCCAGCCGCTTGGGACGCTCGGCCTTTGTGAATTTGGGCCCTCCAGTGCCGGGCATCGAGATCCGCATTGCCAACGAAGACGGAGAGACCCTCGCAGAGGAGGAGGTTGGGCGCTTCCAGATCAGAGGAGCGCAGGTGAGTGGTGAAAATGCTAGCGCTGACAGGTGCTGACAGGCTAGAACATCTAGAACAGTCTTAGAGGCCATCGCTCTTAGGTTGGAGGCCATCCCTAGTAGGTTGGAGGTCAGTAGTTGATTGGTTGCAGTTTTTGTTCCCGATCTGGACTTGCTAGGACCTGTGATTACACCCGGATACCTGAAAAATGAAGAAGCCAACAAGGAGGCCTTTGTTGAGGATGATTGGTTCAACACCGGTGACATTGGATTCCTCCGAGCGGGCCAACTTTATCTTACTGGACACTTTGATGTGCTGGCCTTTCGCACATCCTAGATTCTGCATTGCATGACCAAGCCAATCATGTTGCAATCAGAGTTGCTCAGGAAGAGAGAAGGAGATGATCATCATTCGTGGGGCAAACTTCTACTGTTACGAGGTTGCTGTGTTTCAAGACCGTGGCCAAGAAAGAACAAAGCAAGGGACAAGGAATACTTCTGGAGATTTATTACATGGGCAACATATGCACAATCACATCACCATATGCATAAGGAGCACCCTTCTTGAAAAAGAGAAAGCACGTTCACCTTCTGCACTTTGGGCTCAACAAGAACGCTACTAGGGGCTCCTGGCCTTACTAGGAACAAGAACGCTACTAGGAGCAAGGCATCGCTACTAGTAACAAAGGGCATCGCTACTAGGAGCAAGGACGCTACTAGGGGCTCCTGGCCTTACTACTGGTAACAAGAGGATGCTACTAGGAGCAAAGGGCATCGCTACGAACAGAGCGATCGGACGTGACCTTCGCTCACCTTCAGGTGGAAGATGTGGTGAACTCGATGGACTCCGTTACAGCCACCTTCACCGCAGCCGTGTCCCTTCACGACCCCACCTCGGGCACCGAAGGCGAAGAACATGACCATTTAGTGTTCATTTGCAATCGCTATCAGGTTGGAGGCCATCGCCATCAGGATATACACACTATACTGTCATTATCTTTCTAGGGGAGTGCGCTGAATAGGATGTAGACAAATTCTAGCAAGAATGACGCTACGGCTTACTTTTGATTACCTCTTGGGAGAGCACCTTTGCCATGTCCAACCACCTTCATGTTTTGAGTGGTGCATTTGCACCCTTTTAAGAGGCCTTGCAATCTTTTTCGTGCCTCGGCGAGCTGCCTTGGATTCAGAGGAGGCTCGCCGAGGCTTTATCGACATGTGTTTAGAAAGGTCTTCCTTTTCCTATCTATTTGTTTCCAAATAGTGATGGCCTCCAACCTAAGAGCGATGGCCTCCAACCTACTAGCAATGGCCTCCAACCTACTAGCAATCAATGGCCTCCAGCCTACTAGCAATGGCCTCCAACCTTCTATCGATGGCCCAACCTAGTATCGATGGCCTCCAGCCTACTAGCAATGGCCTCCAACCT